AGTATATTACATTAGTTTTAATTTGATATATATATAAAAGTGTCAGACCTTCTGGAACATTTTCAAAAGTTAAGTTGAAAAAGTTAATTTTTTGTGAAAAAGTTGTCATTTTAAATCCCCCCTGTGGGCAGATATTGGGTCTAATTTACAAAAAAAATATACCAAATCATAGGTAAAGACATCAAGCATCTAAAAAAAAAAAATTATATTGATATATTAATTTTTGAAAAAGTTACGGCAGTTTTTAGTAAAAAAAATTGAAAAAATTTCGAAAATTAGCGATTTTTAAATATGTAATTTTTTTGGAGGTTTCCCCCATTTACGGGGAACGAGGGAATTTTTTTCAATTTTTGAGGGTAATGTCTTCTATTAGATACGATTTGTGATCTTTTGAAAGAGCCATATTTTTGTGAAACAAGAGAAAAAAACATGACTCGAATAAAAATTATTGGTGTGTGAATCCAACTAGAAATTAAGAGCAAAAGCGTACAAATTGTTTTAAAGTTAACCTGTTTACGCACCTTTTTCATTGTAAAAATATAATAAAAATGGAGAATATTTCAACACAGAATAATGAAACCACCTTAAAACAAAGTCACCAAAGAAAGCCACAGGCATTTCAGTACGTGCTTATATAAAGTAATTTGACATGAGTATTAGAAAGAAAGGATACGCAAAATAAAATTCTTTTTGATACATTATCTAAATTTACTATAAAAACTCTCATTCTCACCCAAAATCCTCATAGTCAAATTAAAGCCAAATTTTGTAGATATTTAAATTTAATTGTACAGAAATGTTAATATCAATATTATCTTGAGTCAAGTCATAAAAAAAAATTAGCTAATTCATTATGTTATAAAACATGTATAAATCGTGTAATTTTTTCCCTTAATTTATAATTATAGAATACCTGAAAAATAACAGTGTGATCAATTTGTTTTTGTGTTGTTAAAGTCATTTGCGTATCATCACTTAATTTAATTTTTGGTATATTAATTACATAGGTAAGCGATAAATCCTGTTAAAAGAAAACTCTGGACTAATTATCCGTTTTCAAATATTAAAGGTACATTCTGATTTTCAAACAATTTTGACGTAGGTTTAAATATATATTTTATACTTGCATGTTTACATAATTTCAGTAGGCTATGCTATACTATATTTAAGTACATTTCCCAGTTAAGTGTGTTTGGTTGAGTACACAGTGTTTTGCTTCTAAAACATCAAAGTTCAATCATTAGAGCTACTCAATATGTCTATCCAAACCTTAAGTGATCCTTTATATCCAATAATATATATTGCTAAGTGAGTGAGAGTATTTGTATTGTACCTCTACACTTCTATAATAGGTTCTTATAACAATTTATACTTGGTAGATAATATTGGAACATTTGTCTTTACATAAAAATATACGAAATAATTTCGTATTTTAGTTTCAGTGCGAAACCGAAAAAATATTTGTTTTATCATTATAGGTTTATTTTTTTTGCACCTGTCTTCACTTTTTCTTAGCACCTACTGAACTAATTTTTCTCAACGATGCGTCAAAATAGATCACAAATTGAGTTTAATTGATTCTATCAATGTGTTAATATGAAAAAAATACCTTCAATACCCACAAATAGGGATAATCCTCCCAAAAATTACGATTATTTAAATTAGTAAATTTCGGTATTTTTTTAATGCGTATAAAATAATTTTGTTCACTTTATTTAAGACATTCTGCATTCTATAAAAGATTCTTTATTCATTTAAATTTATAAATAAAACTATTTGCAGCTTAAATCTGCGCACATAATTTATTGTTCAATGTGGAAAATTATAAATCAATTATTTCTAATCAGAGTTCAGAAACTTTGAACTCAAATTAAAGTTTAAATACACTTGTACTAATACTTTGGAAAATACCATTATTTAACTCTAATATTTTAATCTACTTGAGATGACAAATTTGAATCATGACGACTACCAATTTTACTAACTTTATTGAAGTTCTTGCATAATTTAATTGATTTGTATTAAAAAAACCTAATTTGATAATAAATTCATTAAAAAATATTAGAAATGAATAATTATAATTGTCTGTATAGAGAAATCTGATTAAGGGACTTTTTATTTGATAAAGAAGATTTTTTTCAATTTTTGGAGTAATATCTTTAACTAGATAATAGTTATGATTACTTGACGTGTCGTTAAAAAAAACGGTAGCAAAGTGGTGACGCGGCACTGTATGGGCGTAGAATAGTTGGGACAAGTAAAAATAATATCTGATAGTAATTAAAATCACTATCATAAGAAACGCTTCAAAACAAATTTGCGGATAGTGTTTAATTTTAAGAAATTTCTGCATAATAACAAAAGCAACATCAACTCCTATTTCCTTAATTATATCTTGATTAGTAGTTTTTAGATTTAAAAGTGTAATTTATGAATACATAATACAAATACAGTATGAAATTAATATTCACGGAGAAATAATGAAAAATGATACCGTAGTTTATTTTGTTACTTCTATGATAAACATGTATATAAATTAAAGGACTCGATGCAATACTTAATATTAATGATATTTATTGAAGTTATTGAAATTAAATGAAATAAATATCAAATAAGTTGAATATTTTTTTCTAACTCAAAAAAAATTAAAAAAAAAATTATAAAAAATCCAATCCCAATAGGGGGTAGAACTTTGTACCTTAAGCGTGAAAGACCTAAGTGTCACCGACCGGCAACCTTACGTCACATTTTTTCGATGGATAAAAATAGCAATTTAAGCTAGTTCAAATTTCTAATATATTTTTCTCGATTTAAATGAAACAAAACCCAGCACTACTACTTCTCATGAAAAAATTGTATTGATCCATACTTTTTTTAAAAAGTTATAGCACTTTAAAGTAAAAAATGTAAATTTTAAAATCGAGAATTTTCACACAAAAATAGCATTTGTTAGCCATTTTCACCACGAAGACAAGTACAGAGGTCAATATTTTTTTTTCAAATTAAAGTATATTACATTAGCTTTAATTTAAGATATATATAAAAGTGTCAGACCTTCCGGAACATTTTCAAAAGTTAAGTTGAAAAAGTTAATTTTTTGTGAAAAAGTTGTCATTTTAAATCCCCCCC